AGTCTTCGCTTACTGGAGGGAGGCAACCAGGGAGCCAAGGCTTGGGGACTCCACAGTTAACCTTAATCCACCCAAAAACAAACACTAAAGGCACATATAGCACCAAAAGCACAATTTAAATTGAAAATAACACATTTAAAAATCTATCTCTCTGTTCATCATGCTTTCTGCTTTATTTTATTTTCTATTTTACTTTTTCTTTCTTTCTTTAAAAGAGGAATCGCGTCATTCCGGACCCTGATTAAGTACCAGCTATTCCCTTTAATTTCCCTGCATGTCAAGATTAGAAGCATTTTCAACATCGCTACCAGTAAAGCCACTGATCTTTTTTTTGGCTGGCTGCGTTTACAGCTGAACTCACTTTTGTTTATGCTATGATGAAATATTCAGAGTAGTTTATTAATATAGTTATGGAAGTTGCATCTGCTGCATGTGTTGTGTGTCCCTATGGGGCCACGCACCTAGGAGAGCCTTGGCTGCACCAGTGAAGGAAATAGCTGAGTGGAACACCACTATACATTACTGTCCTGGAGAGGACGTTGAAACAAATGGAGTCGGCAACCCAAGAGGGTATGGCTTTCAGGCCTGAAAGCGGGTCTCGAGCAATCTCCGCTTGAGGGACTGGGGCTTGGATATGTGCAATGTGCCAGGCTGGTCTGGTCTGGTCTGGGTGTCAGGATATTGACTCACTTCTGTTTAGTCCATTGTTGACCTGGCTGAGTGACGATTGGAGTTTGCATTGAGGCTGTGCATCATTCTCTCTGGTGGGTGTGTGTCAGCAGAGAGGTGGGGGGGTGATCGGCAAATGCATCGAAACATTTTTTTTCTCTCTTTTCCTCTTTTTCCGACATGTGAAAGCACGAGGCGAGCTGGGCTGCCATCTTAGCTGAGGTGTTAGCCGGGACCACATACAGTACGTGATGGATCGCGGCCATTTAACCACACGATCCGTGGATGGACACAGGATTTGGGGCTTTCCCTGCGTGAAGCGGATTCTATGGAGATAACTAAAAGCACAGCGACAACATCTTGGGTTTTTGTGGCGCCCGACACCCGGGTAACATCAGCCCTCTCACAAACAAACCGCAGAAGAGCGATCGACACTCACACTTTCCTACTTCCCAAGCGATTCGTGCCCAGAAATGACCGACGGTGGCAATATACTCTCACGCCAACCCTGGCTGCGATCGCGAGACACCCGACTCGATCTGGCGGGCACTGTAGAAAGCATACGATGGAAGTTATAGTCTCTCTCCCTCCCCAGGTCTTGAGATTAACAGCCCCCACACAGCTGCTCCCACTTGTTACATCCTCCAATTTGAGAAGAGTTACTGCCAGATAGGAAACCAGAGGCTGACGCTATTTATAGCAATCAGCTTTCCAGTCAAACAAAACAAGCACGTCTACCACAACATTGTGATGTCCCCAAGCTTCATAACTTCTGTTAATAATAATGATCCTGGCATTTGCTACAGCGCCTTATCACGTCTTCTCGACGTCTCAAAGCGCTTCACAGAATATGCTGTAAAGTGAATTGACTGTGTATTTTGTGGGTGAAACGCGGCAGCCAATTGCGCACAGCAGCGTCCCATAAACAGTCATGGATTGAAAATGCAAGTCTTCATTTGATAACCAGAAAATGCTACTGGCACAGAGTGGATTATGTCAGTAGTGCTGGTAATCAATATAACATGCAGTTCCTAATGCTAACAGTCTCGTCCAGAGAGAGCACCTGTCAAAAACCTACTAAAATGCACATGTAATTAATAAAGTCTGTGCGATGGAAAGCAGCCATGAAAGCTTGTGCAGTCTTTCACAAACGCCAAGAGATTATTCATAAACTCAAAACCATGGTGATTCGCCGTATCGTTTTGCCAGCAGTCTAAACAATAACTACAATATAAAGCAATAAAAATCCCTGATTGTTTTTTTTATGGGGGGGGGGGGGAAACACAAAGTAGCCTATTTAAACAAACTCCATGTTAGATTCTTCCCTGATTTTATTGTCACTGTTATCACTGCGGGTCATTTTTGTATCACTTTTATTCATTAGGACTGTGACTTGTATTAGAAATGCCTTATTAAATTCCGCACTTTACAAACCCATGGTCTAGCGAGCACATTATGTTCTATTTGTTTTTGAGACGAGTTTAAAGGGTTTTAGTGGGTTCTGTTTCAGGTCTTTTTGCCTGTAAGCCAAGCCAGCATTGGGGTAAAGGCATCTGCTGCTCTTTAATGTCCCTGAGTGCACAGCATGCATGACTAACACAGTGTAAATAAACACAGCTGAACCGGGCAGAAATTGGAAGGTTTTCTCATTAGAAAAATAAAATAAACAGATGCGGTTTAAGCGCTCTGTCTAAAGTGTTTGTCCAAAGAATGGAGAAGTCTCAGAAGTTTGAGCACAAAGGTGATGGGGCCAAGTCTCGTGTAAAAGGAATGGAATCTGTACGGTCCTTTTAACTAATGGTCCTGGGGGATTGCTGCTCATTCTAACCTTAAAGGAGTGGTGCGTCGTGGGATTTTGGCAGCTTTTCTTTGGGTTCTTCAATAACAAACTTGAGGACAGTGGTTTTGTGTTTCACAAGAAGCAAACTTTTATTGAAACTGCCTGTTGGTGCTGTTATACTGCTGCTTGTTGCCAGGCCAAGCTAATGCCTAACGTAGCCCAAACTGGCTCAAATAGAACTGTATTTACAACACGATAGAGATCACAGGGTCTTCGTCGGGACACTGCAGGTAACGCACCGGTTGTGGTTATGTTAACTGAACGTGATTAGTGAGACACTGCCACAAGTACAGTAGTGAGTACACACTCCTAATACTTCAGTCTTCTCAAACGCTTGCATTGCACACTCAAATCTCGGTGTCCTCTCAAATCACTGGTGATTGCACACTTAAAGTTCAGTATCTTCACAAACCACTCTATATCAACGCTTTGGGATGTCCTCCCGACTTGAAAGGCGCTCTATAAATGTAATTTTGTTGTTATTGTTGTATATATGTGTATAATATATAAAGTACACTTATATACTGTTATTTCCTTATCTGAAGTGCAAAATAAGCCTTTTATTTCTCTCGTCGTGGTTGCAGTTTGCACAAACTTGTCTGCGATGCTTTCTTACAATGGCAGTGAGCATTACTACTTTCCACTTCCCATCGTTTCCTCCCTGGGTGCAGGGCTGAGCACTCTCTGTCTCACAGTCGGTTTTAGTTGTTGGTTTCCTTCTGTTGTTATTCCTTCTGCCTTTCACAGCCCCATTGCTTCTTTGGCTACAAACACAGTTGACCGGAATCACGTTCCGACACGGCGAGTTTGCACTGACCGCTCTGACGTGAAATGTTCGGCCGCCAGCGGTTTGGACTGTAATTGTGCAAAGCTCGAGGGGAGAGGGTTTTTTTTGTAATGAACTGTGGTGATCCCTGGACTTCAGTGAAATCCATTTCACTTAAGATCTAAGTGCCTAAAAAAAACTGCTCAAAAACCAAGAAGGAAATCTAATCCCTAGAACTGTACAGAGGGCTTTAGATGAGAGAATTAAAGAATGGTGAACATAACATTGTGCTCACTGGGAATTCTTCCCCAACTCTGCTCAGCCCAACTGAGCCCAGCACAGCCCCTGCTGTTCACCTCAGGACAATATTCCATCACAACCGTTCCCCCCTCTCCCTCCTCTGGCTATTCACTGGCAATCAACAGCGGAACTATTGCTGGGAACCCTGTGCGGATGCAGGCATGATGTCAGCAGACAGCTATTCTCATTGCAACTGATGTACAATGTAATTCCTCCATTTCCTTTCCCTTGTTCGGGAGCCACTTTACGATCTCCTACGGAGAATTGCTCGCATTTCATCAAACAATGTGAAAATAAACCCACAGATACCATTTCCTTTCTACTAAATACATGGCAGCAGGTTCCTATTGAGCCAATGACCGCGTTTTTTTTGTGTGCTATGAAGTTTTGACTTCCTTCAGAGCACTATTACATTTAATGGGCTTTCACGCTGAAAATGTATGATTAATGATTGCCCACTGCTCTTCCTCCATCTGTACTGTACACAGAGCAAAATCAAAACCTCCCTCCTTCAAGCTTTTTATCTTTTTATTTTGTCCAACTATATATATATATATATATATATATATCAGGACTGCATTTTATTTTCATTTAAGTGAAAGACATCTGTGCAAATGAGCAGAACGAGTTTGCAGTTTCCACAGGTGAAAAGATAATGTTACTTCGCTCACAAAATACACAGTGACTCCACTTTACAGTGTATCCTGTGAAGCGCTTTGAGAAGCATCGAAAATGTGCAAGACCCTTATATCAAATGCAAGGAATATTATTATTATTATTATTACTATCGAGTGCCCAGTTGCTGCCTGTCCATAAAACCTTTCAAACTTGTCTTTCTTTCACAAACTAAATGTACTCTCCTCCTCCTCCCCCATCGCTGTGTTACACTGGTGCAGATTTCTTTTTTCCTTTTGTCAGGCTTTCTCTTTCTTTTACTCTCTCTTTCTCCCTCCCTTTCTCTATCTCGATCTTTCTCCCCCAACCCCGGCCTCGCCCCTCCACCCCCTACGCAAGTTTACCTAGAAATGAAATAACCAGACTGGAGCAAGGGTGAGTGTGCACAATGTGAAACAGAAGCTGGCACACACTTGCTCTTGCCTGCACCTGTGCTGAGCTCGAGTCAATTCCCTTGCTCTTCTACATGAGACACAAGTGGCATGTTAAAAACTTCACAGCCAGCAAACTGAAAGAGAAAAGGCATCATTGGCTGCTGGACTAGCAATAAAATTGGTCATTCGCTCCACGCCTGGTCTGGGGGACATTGTTGTGTGCAAATTGGTTGATTGATTGTACCTTTCACCTTGGACCTGAAAGGGTTAATCGGAGCCTCAGCACCACGTCAAATGGGACATGTACTGATCTGTCAGTAAATAAATACACACCACAGCGTTCTGTATCGTCAGGAGTTTAAGATAAAGGTCCTACCTTTCCATATCGGGTGGCGAATGTCCCTGTGAGTAACGAGTGGAACACAATGATGGTCTCATCCAGATCCCACACAAACACCCGCTGGGAAGACAAGAAGACAGAGTGAGCCCCGGCCATAACTCCCGCTGCTCACTACCCAATGTGAGTTAATCCGTATCTCACAGGTCGGTCCCTGAACCGGAGTGGATTTGGGCGCTGAGAGCTGGTGCTTGGATTCGTTCTCAGTGCGGTTCACTTACAAATGAAATCAAACGCTTTGAGACGTCTCGAGGAGCTGATAAGGCATGTTATCAAATGAAAGGATCATTATTATTATAATATTGGGTCGAATTAAAGAAGCATTTCACATGGAGACATTGAATAGACACCGGCAGCACTGTTAACTGTGCAAAGTTAGCGATCGACCGTGTGGGTGAGAGATTACCTCGATGTCAGTATCTAGCGGAGGGGAAGGGTCGTTGTTCCTTTTTGACCTCCCACGTAACTTTCCGTCTGAACTTCTCCGCTGTCGATCTGATTCCGAATCTTTTACCGGGGTTGGGGGGCGATTGATGGGATTGTAATCCCCTAGAAGAGCAGACACAAACTGGTTAGTTAGAACAACAGCAACGCTTCCAAATTGCCAGAGTACTCTGTTTTTTTTAAAAGCACGTCTAAATCGAGGAGCTTCAAGAATATTGAATCTAAATAGCCCAGTTTACGCTGTACAGGCAAATGTTTGTCACTCGTGTGTACAATACAGTGACTCACAAACCCTACTTTGGTACCAGTGACTGTGTTACTCCTATTTCACTGGTTATCATCTCTTTCCAAAGTTTGTTGCTTTGTTGGTGTGGATTTGAGTAATGATTGTGACAAGCTCTCAATGGCAAGCTATGTGGTTTTAGCTGGTTAGACTCCGGCAGTTAACCCAACTCCCCCCCAAGCCTTGGCTCTTGCCAACCTGCGTCGAATACTTTCCAGAAATAGGTAAGTAGGAAAATAAGGTAAATAGGTAAGTAAGTCCCTCCAGGAGGAGAGTGAGAGAGAGAGCATTCCATTCCAACAATCTACCTCTGGGATTTCCATGTGTAGATGGATGCATGGAATTCTCAGCTTGGTTTGGAGACTCTTAAGTAACGGTGATGGGTTTCCGCACATGTCAGACACCCGGCTGGCCAACAAATAATAATAATAAATTGTGGCAAGATGTACGAGTATCAAACAAAGTAAATGGGATCTAATGTTGTAGCATTTCTCAATGGGATTTCTTCCGAAGGAACCGGTTAGCAATAATGCCAGGCAGCAGGGGCTCCACTCTGGAAGTTGACTGAGTAGGGAGCACATTTGGTGACGTGCAAATTCTTACCAAAAGGAAACCCCAGTTGTACTACCCTTATAAGCCAATCCTGTTTTTTAAAAAAAAGCTACAATTTACACCCCAATATTCTTTAAGTGGTTCAACAGGTGTTTGCAACACCCTGCGGATACAGAAACTCGCTGAGATTGTTTTGCCCCCGAATAAAATACAGTGCAAGTTCTCTGCAGAAATCTTTCAGTCGTTCAAAATTATGCCTTAAGTGCCACAGGGATTTTTGCAGTTAGCAAAGCTCAATGTGCCTTTGCGCTCACAGCTCTCTTCTCACATTTCTGCGCTTTACATCAACAGCATTTGCTAAGAGCTGAATTATAAAGAATTCTATTGAGAGACTCTGATGTGTACCAGATTTCAACGTTAAACTCGCCACCCAAATGTAACTGCTTACGTCTACAAACAATGAGATATTCTGTTCTATTGCTATTTCCCAGACCTATAGTATTTCAATATTTTACAATCGGCCACATATCATAATCCTTTGTGAAGTTGCTGTTTTCCGAGGTTTAACGTTTGTCATCATTTTTTTGAAAATATGCTGTTGCATTTTTGAATAGAAAAATTCCAAAAGAACGTGCCGCCAAAAAGCATTCTCAATTTTGCTGGAGATCAAACATCGAGTCAATGCTGATTGTTTCAGAAGAACTTGAAACATTTCCCGCACAATGAGAAAGAGATGAACAGTTAGTACTTCACACATCTCAGGCTTCAGTTCAGCTTTCGTTTGGAGGAATAAATTATTTTATTCTCTTTATAGAAGCCACTATTGTAGAGAATTATTGCTTGATATTTTATTTAGGATTTATTTTTGCTTTTTTTAAATTTTTCTCTTCAATGATACACAGCTGCTATGATGCTTTGGTTGTGCCTGGAAATGATTTACTTCACTTTGAAATCCTTTTACTTTACCTTGAAATTGTTTTACTGTTTTGCCAACAAAATACACAGTCAGTTTACTTTACAGTATATTAGTCTGTGAAGCGCTTTGTGATACTCGATGATGTGATAAGGCGCCAGATCAAATGCAATGATTCGTTTATTTGTTATTACTTCCGGGATATGGGATATATGAAGAATGAAATGACTGACAATTAACACAGAAGCAATTGTTTTCCGAAGAGTTTGTGGTGTGGTGTGTGCCCCACCCTTACCTGGCATTGTCTCTGTGCTCGTCTGATTATTGAGTGTGACTGGGGGCTCCTGGATTTGGTAGGTCATGCCAGTGATGGCTGATGGACTAATGCTATTCGCTGTCACATAGGGGCTGGTGTATGGAGGGCTGTAGTACTGTGCGTATTGTCCTTGGGCAAAGCCTGGATATGCGGTGTATTCCTTAGAAAGCAGAGAGAAGTAGAGTCACTATCGCATCTCAAACCTTTTACAAGTGTATTCATTCGTTCATTCATGAATCAAACTGGTCACTCACTTCACGGCTGTTTGTGGGATATTACTGTGCGCAAATAGGCTGCTGTGTTCAGCTACATAACAACAGCAGCAATAACAAAATATGTTTACACAGCGCCTTTCACCACAGGAGGACTCACACCCTTAAATAAACCTCTACACTTGTCATTTTTGTGGTAACCTGAATGATCGAATTGACCCAGACAGATGGTCGAACAAGAGTATAACCATCTTTCTGTCCCCTCTTCCCCCATGCCCCACACCCCATCACTTCCCCCTCAGATCTCCAATGCTCTCCTTGTGTCAGAGGGAGAGTTCTCTTTGGGAGGGATCATTCTCTGTGTGATCTCAAAGGTACTGTACAGATACAAATAAAATGAAATGGCTGCAATGTACCTGTTGTGCAGTGTTGAAGCCTGTGGAGCTGCTGATTGTGTTGTTTCCCTGATAAATCCCTGATGTCCCCGTTAGCCCAGTACCTGTGAAAGCAGAACACATTTCTGTTACAGTGTTGGTTTACACTTTAAGAAAAAAAAACCCAGCCTCTGTATGTAACAGCTGCAAATCTGCTCTGTATACTCACACGTTGGGTGTGCATGTCATTAAACCGGCTGCTCTTATTATTTTGAATAATTTCAAATTACATTTGATTTTGGCAGATTAATAGATTGATAAATTGATAGATTTATAGGTGGATTGATTGATTGATCAATTGACTGATCGATTGACTGATCGATTGACTAACTGATACACTGATCCACGAAGGGTGGGTAGACTTATAAAGTGAGAGACCCGTGTATAGTAGGGAGAAAGCAGTTGACATATAAAATGAATGCAAAATATTAATATGAATCCAGGAGGACAGATTTGCAGATTGGATTTCAGGTGGACAGACATGCATATTTATGAAGCAAGAAGGTAGACACATTGATAGATTGACAGTTTTACATGAGGACATAAGGCAAATAGAGAAGTGATTGACAAGTGGGCAGATGGATGTTTGCATTTAAAAATCCACAGAGAAATGATACAGTGTACAGATGAATAAATTAACAGATTTACAGATGGACAGGATTACACATGGACAAATGGGCAGATTTATAGACTGAGAGATTTATACATTAATATATTGACAGGTTGACAAATGGAGAGATGTAAAGATATGTTAAGCGCATATAAATAGGTTGATAGATTCACAAATAGATTTATGGCTTCACGAGTGGGGCTCTTTAGAGGTTGATCGTAAAACAGGTGGATATGTTGACAAATAGAGGAATTAATTGATTAATAGATCACTCAATTTATAGACAGATTTATAGGCATTTGCATACATTGTCTATTGGAGAAATGTATTGAGGAAGAGGTTGTCAAGTTTACAGATGAATGTATTTGTAATTTGATTCATAAATTTACACTGGTAGCTTTACTGATGGACTCATTTTTATATTGATAGATTGACAGATGGACAGTGAACAGATGTATAGTTTGAGATTGGCAGATGGCGAGATGTTGATTAACACAGGCACAGGTTTACAGGACAGATGTCAAATGCAGAGATGATAGACAGATGGAAATGTATACAGACAGATTATAGATGTTGCCACATGGTTATAGCCTGACAAATATACAGGTACTGCATATAGATTTATGGTGGGACAGATGGCGTGATTACTCTAATAGATGAACAGACAAATTCATAGATTGACAAACGGTTTGTTCAGCACAAGTACATATGTAACAGATTACTGATTAACTAATAGATTTACATATATTTTTTGTACAGTTTTGAGTCAGATAAAATAATAGCTATATTTGGTACAAACAGTGACATTCATAGATTGCCAGAAGCAGAGATATATAGATGTCAGATGAAGGAATGTCAGACAGATAAATATTTAGTGTTGGGACAGATTTGCATGATTTGCATGATTACTGCTAGGATTGGATTGACTGGGAATACATTTTCTGGGATTCGATTGGCTGAGATTACGTTCACATAGACAATGTAATAATACGTAAAAATGGAAGATTGAAAAAAAGTTAACAGATGGGGGTGGATTTACAAAGAGCAGATGACAGATGGAACAGCATTACAGATGGCTGGATGCCTGGGGTCATCTATAGATAAGAGATTTATAAATACATTAAGGCCCTGGCTGTCCAAAAGTGTGGCCCTGCAGTTTAATGGTAGATCAGGACAATACATTAACTATTTCAAAATAAAAGTGAAACGGATATAAACCCAGCGATGATGAATTTTAACAGTATTTCAATCCAGATCTCTCGTCACTTTACAAAACAATCATTTCATTAATTCGAATAGTTTGGCTCATGTGGAGAATAAACACCAGACATGGACTGGTTGGGCCAAATGGCCTGTTTCCATGGTGTAACATTCAATATCATTCCATGTTAATGGTGCCATTGGGGAATCTGAATCAAGGAGTTATTGTGCCTCATGGGATGGGTTATGTGAGATAAAACGCACAGTTTTAAGGTTGAATCATAACTCGGTTAATGAGTGCATTTTTATTGGTGTTGACCTATTCCCCTCGTGCTGTTGGTGTCACTAATTCCTCGAGGCCCACATTCCCCCAGAGAAGTCATCTGCACGGATCATTTAAACAAAATATTTTATTGCATTAAAAATAGCCAGTTCACCACTTCAGCTACTCTGGGAGGTGAAGGGAAGGGGGAGAAACAGAATGTCCTTGTCTTTGGTCTTGTTTAAGCTACATTGTTATGACGAGGGCTGGACATGATGGACAATATGTGGTCTCCTGTGTCTGACACTTGGTATATTCAGCATTTCGGATCAAAGTTTTTCTTCAAAATCTTATTTTTGTAATAATGGATAGTAATAGATTGTGCTGTTATTATGAGAGCTTCTCTCTCTCTCGATAATTATTATTATTACGTTTATGTCATAATTAGAACTGGGCTAGAAACCTTCATGCCTGTTCCCTGATATCACATCACTACAAATGTCTTTTAAGCGATTTGATGTAGCGCCTTATCACGTCGGAGATTATTCTCAAAGCGCTTCACAGGCTTTTCTGTAAAGTGCAGTGACAGTATTTGTAAGCGAATGCTTGCAATGATCTGGTATTTCTCTGTATTTAGTGAGAGCTGCAGACGCCAAGCTGAAGGTGCTAAATTGCGTGTTGTGTGTTCCATCGCCGTGTGTAGACAAGACACAAAAAACGCCATTAAAATCTCAGCGGGGCTGAGAGCAGCAAAGAGCAGAGATGGATGGCATTGTGTCCAGCCCAAGGCTTTATGACAAGCAATTGTATTCCCTGGTCAGTACCTGTCCTCTCCACAGAGCGGGAATCCAGCAGGGAGCCGACGCATTCCAGCGCCATTTATTTGGTGGCTTTTCCCCCTCGGTTTGCCTGCTTGTTTTATTTAAAGTTTCTTGAATAAAGGGATGAGGGACAGCTGTGAAAACCTCACTGACTGGGCTGTTCTTGTGAATACAGCAGCATGTGTTTGGGGTGACAGTAAGACCGAGCCCTATAAGAAGCCTCAATTGGGTCTTTGGTGTTTTCGCCCACAAAAGATGTGATAAGGCACTGTATCAAATGTAAGGATTATTATTACGAGGATTATAATGCTTTCTCCACAGGTTCCAAAGGACCTGTTTTGTCTCGAACTATCGCACGCAAAAATAACTGATCCCTTTTCTTCTGAATGGAGGGCACAGGAAAGGTGTGTAGCGTTGTTGCTGTAAGGCAAAATCTTCATAACTAATACCTAAACAAAAAGCCCTTGTATCTTTGAGCCTGGAAACAAAGGAGGCAGGAATTTTTTACTCTCAACAATGTCACTCATATAGAATCCATCACTCTTTATTAAGACTGTCAATGGGAGGATACTGCTTAAGGCAACCTGCACTAAACAGGAATCTGAATGTTAAAAGTTTATTACCTGCACAGAAGCAACGTGATACTCTCCTTTACTCATATGACTACCTCAACATGACACCCTGCCTTATGCTGTGGGAGTTTCAGATAATTCCATGATCCAGGAATTTGAGTATTAATTAACTGCAGGAAAAGTAAAATGTCTAGTTGCCAAATATTATCCCCCAATGGAATGAACTTTGTCCACATTTCAGACCACATTGGAAAGAAATCAAATGTTTCAAGTATATGGTACATTCTGGTATCGACAGTGCCCTCCATTCACATAAAAGGAGTGTTATCCTGGCTCACTCCTGCCCACATCACTCACTCTCAGCACTGTCAAGGGACAGGGTTGTGAAGGGAAACAATTTGTTATTTTCTTCCTGCTTCCTGTGTGAGGCGGTGAGGGAAGCCGGGGTGGTGGGGGAGAGGCTGGCCATTACAGGTGGGTTGGGTAGGGGGGGGGGGGGGGGCGTTCCTCAACTCCAATAATCAAGCTTAATCTGGGAAAGTGCATGACTGGGTCTGCAGGATCTCTGTTTTTTTTATGTTTGGTGGCCAGAGCAAGAAGTGGGGTGAATTTGCAGCCCAAATAAGAGGGTGTTTATGGGAGTCTGGGGAAAAATGCACAGAGGACACTCCTTTGAGAATCTAAGATCCAGTGCTACAACTGGATCCACCATCTAAAGGATTGAGCAGCCTCCAAGCAACTCACCAATGTCCATTATTCTGAATCACCAAGTTCCTCAAATACCATTCACTCCAGACTATTAGTGTTGGTAACGACACTGCTCTTGTGGCAATCTCTAAGGTTGTCCCCATTATCTCTTGAGAGGAAAGTGTTGCTGGGGGTGGTGGGGGGTGAGTGGAGTACATCAAGGTATCTCTAACTGTAAAGACAGCTAGCTATCAGTCAATGAAGGAAACAGAGGCAAGATACTGGGACTATTGAGGAGGCAAATAAAAACAGGCCATTCATAATCCTGTCGAGATTCTTCCGCTTTCTGCATATTGAAAGACTGAAACAAACAGACGGCTAAATAATAATATGAATCTTCACTGAAGTTTGATGGTTTTTTATTCTCGTGGAACGCTTTTGGAGGGACATCCGATGATATGGCCTCTTTCATTGCAAAGCAACATTATAGAAAACCCATCAGAACGTTTTTACTATTTATTATTGTTCAGCCCTGGAACAGCCAGCTTCTCATTTCCCATATTTTGTATCTTAGCACCATGGCGAGTCATTTCAAAAGGAACAGACACAGTTTCACGTTTCTAAATGGAACAGTAAAGGTGATTATTTCTGCTACATTTAAAATGGGCCTGCGCTTGTTTGAACATTTTCTGAACCCGATGGGGGTGATTTTCTGCAGTGATTTTTTATCACGCTGTTAAAAAGGAGAGGGTTGACCTCTACTGAAGGAAGTGGCTGCTCTCGTGCTGTGTGCACCACGGTCACAGTCTCACAGACTGGCCCAAACGAGAACCATGTGTTGAGTGAGAGGCCAAGAAGACACAGGAGTTTATGGCGACTTTGCTCTTAAATTATATATGGCTGAGCTTTACCT